ACCCACACCCACACCCCACACTGACACCCACACCCACACCCACACCCACACCCCACACTGACACCCACACCCCACACCCATACCCTCAAGATAGCTCTAGCACGCTAATGATCTATCATGAACTAGACTATGACTAACACCATATTACTATTTTAGAATTTATGAGTTATACTGACAAAGTCAATAATAACTTTAGCATTCCTGTACGTATTCATTCAACTGGTGCCCTATCACATGTTATGGTTAAATTGGAAACGACAATTTCGGATATTATTCATGACGTATGTGAACAAAATGGATTCCATCAGCCTGAAATCTATTATTTGGCATTCAACAATGATGTTTTAGAGAATGATAAAATAGTTCGAAATACAAATCTTCATATCTTAGCAACATCTTCCAATATACCAGAATTACACACAAAAACATCACATTTACTTAAAACATATCCTCACTTTGGTAAATATGTTGTTTTCACATCGCCTGAAATATTGAATGCAGCAGAAATATTAAATATCCAATTACCATTAAAAATTGAAGATGTAATACCTGATAACGTTAAAAAAGTTTTCAAAAAAATTGATGTTAATAAGGGTTTGAAGCAATCAATTAGTGCAGTAGCTTCGTCCCATAGTCAGCCAAGCAACCCTTCAACATTAGTTCCATTACCAGTATTTAGTCATACGATAATTGATGACTTACCAATTATGAAATTAAAGGTTCCACTTAATCCAGATGAGTTTGATTGGCAAATTCTACTTCAAAATCTGGCTGATGATTTAGGAATTGATAAAGATGATCTTGTAATTTTAGAAGCTACGAATGGTAGCACAATCATTAAAATAGCTCTAAAACAAAAAGTTTTACGTTACAAAGAAAAATTGAAAAAAATTCATGAAAAGGCTGTCATTATTATTATAGACAAATTCAGTAAAGTGATGCAATATATCGATAAGTTATCAAAGAAATTGCGCAAAGATTATCAGGTCATTTCCGGAATTCATGTCGAACTCGACAATTTTGATAAAGTACTCAATGATGAAATTCTCATACCGGACGATATTGATTTATTTTACGAATTAAATGAACGACCAACGGTGCTAGACAGTGATCAATGGAAATTTTTCGAAGAAAAAAGTCGTCAAATAAAGATTTGTATTTCTGATTCATTTAAAAATTGCGAAGTCGAATATGTTATCAGTAGCATGGCGATGGTTTATAATGAAAAACTACAAAATGATTTCAACGAGTACTCATCTAAATTATCTGTTAAGGATGAGAGAATTTTATGGCATGGTGTTAAAAGCAAAGGAGATTTCGATGGAATATTCGAAGAAAATTTCCGTTTTACGGGCACAACAGACTCTGGTTATTTCGGCCGAGGTATATATTTAACAAGTTCGCCCAAATATGCTACGCAATATGCTTATACTGGTACAACAATAAGATACATTTTATGCAGTGTTGTTTCATTGGGTAAAATGTTACACATTACAAATATGGACTACTATGGAAAAAACTTGCATCCGGGCTACGATAGCCACTATGTAAAGGTCGATACTAGTGCTAAACGTAATCAACCAATTGCAAATAATAATGAAAAATACTATGAAGAATTTGTTATCAAAAATAACAAGCAAATATTGCCAATGTACATCGTGGGTCTTCGTCAAATTGATAGATTTGTACTATGGCGTGACGCAAAAATTAGAAATTATGAAAATGCACACACATTTAAACGATTAAAAGAAACATACAATTGCAATATATACGGTAGCGAAACATCGGACCATGCATTGATGTTGTTAAAAAATAAGCTATCTACAGGGTCACAACTATGTGTTGTAGTTACAAATGGTGCTGACGACGGAGAAGGATTTGCTATTCAATGCCGAAAAATACGAGCTAATTTACCTATCATTGTCTATTGTATGGACATCGCTTCCCATAAAAAATGAGCAGACAAATTGGGTGACACACCAGAGATAAAAGTAACAAAAAATCAAACCGACGTATTCAATTATATCAATGAACAACTATTTAAAAAATGACAATAAATAAAAGACAAAAACAATATGACAGATCACTTTGACTTTTTGCTCTATGGAATGACAACAGGAAATTTCTGAATGTTATATCATTCTAGTTGAAAGATACATCAGTACCCATAACTAGATTAACTCGGGTGTGGGTGGACGTGAAGATGCGAGGTATCTGGATGTGAGTTTGAGTGTCACTGTCGGTATTTCTTGTCTTCTTTTGAACTCATAGCCACACACAGACACAGTCCAAAAGAAGATTGTTGGTCATGTTGTTGTTCCTATTCATCTTCATTGATGACATGTGCAATTGTTTATGTTTCTTAAGTTTTTTTTAAAGAGTTGTTTTTCATATTGCTTGCCACAAACTTGAATATGAACGTTTTGTTTGAGTACTGTCTAGTACAATAGGCCTTTGTTTTGTTCTTCCGACCTTTCCAATCCCAATAAAAATATGTTACTTGCTATTTACTTGAAAACATTTCTGCAGCTCAAATAGTAACAATCTAGTGATCTGAAATCCACAGAATAAATACGGAAAATAACAGAATCGTATAGGGCACGAATGAAAGACAGTCACTATGAAAAAAAAACAACAATCGAATCAAAAAGTGTTTAGTAACCTTGTGTGTTGATTTTCTCACCGCTATATCATCAACATAACGAATGAAGTATTATACCAGAACAACAGACAGCGATATATTTCTCATGCACACACGTGCGCAGAGAAACACAACAGAACATACGAAACTGATAAGAAGACAGAAACGAAACATGAACAAAGAGAAATGGGGCGAAACGAGAGATAGTTAATAGCCCAAAGATAGGGGATTTCAGAGCAGAGCCATTACATCTTATGATTCTTCTTCGCATAAGAAAAATTTATTTTTCAAAACGTTCATAAACTCATAGATTTTTTCAAACGTGCGTTTCCGCGCACGAGCAAACTCTGTGCCTCTACCACACGCATAAATCTCAGTAAAAATCAATAAACGATCTTATTTAGGTTCTGTATCGATAATCCTTGAAATATCAACAATCCACAATATCTATCTAAGACATAATTCATTTTTTTTTCTATTTAAATAAAATTGATGACTCAATTTTAATCAAACATGTTTAATATTAAAGTAAATATGAGTAACTGTCAGTAATTGCAATGATGGTCAACAATACTTACTGATGAGTCACTAGAGTGGGTGTGGCTGTGGATGTGGATGGAGTGGACTGGGATGTTGAGGTGGGAATGCGTCCGGATGTATGAGTGCAAAGTAGCGCTATCTTGAGGATGTGGGATGTGAGTGTGAGTGCAAATAATTGTCTACACCCACACCACACCCTTTACTTCTTATATTCACTTTATCTTATATTTCATTTCAGTTTTTGTATACTATCATTTCTCATTGATGACAAAAGTGTTTTGTCGATGATTTCACATATTAAATTAAATTCACAAGAACGCAAAAAAGAAACACATATAGACTTAATCGCATTAATATTCAATAGAGTAATGCTTAAACCTTCTGTCATATCAATAGATATGTATTCACACAAACACAAATATATCTACTTTCGATTCACATTGGACAAAGTTTTACAACAATCATTATTCAAGATCAACGATAAATTTATTTTTTACGCATTCAATATCGCACGATTTCTCTATTAGACGATTTATCTTCTATATGAACTCATAGAATATTTTCACATTGAAAAATAAATTATTTATTTCAGATGAATTTATTATTTGATTGAGTCAGTTTGATCTGTCTTAGATAAATTAGCATTAAATAATAATTATTTGGAATTAATTTTGTTGAAATACACAATAAGATAAGATATATAATCACAGAATTTCATTGGATAATGGCTAAATATGTGTCTACGTATTCATGCTAAATGAGCAAACGGATATGTATTCAATCATGAGTTAGAATCGGACAATTTTTTTCTGTTCTGTTGGATCCGACCAGCAACTGACCAGACGAATTTTGCAGCCAAACTAGAAAAAATCCAGCTAAAATAACTAATCATAAAAGTATTTGTTCACATAAAATGTTGGCGAAAGAGAATTGAATATTCACATGCAGGAATCCGAACTATGATGATCAATTAATATTTACAAAAAATTTATAAAACGAAAAATAAATTTTAAAAAGTTTTATTTATTTTGAATTTAAATTCATATAAATCATGTTTAACATTATAATAAATTAACAGCAAATCGTCACCTCTAATCCGAAATCAAACATTAAAATTTTGGAATGAAACTCTCCCCTTCATATTTTATAGGAAGGTACGTCAAGTTTTCGAGTCCGATTATCAATATAGATTAGCTATTCAGATCAAATCTGTTTTTTACCTTTACTTCAAAGAAGAAACAAAAAAAACAAGTTTATAACAAATCTAATACAAAAATAAATATGTAATGTCCATTTCAAAATATAATGTCCGTCGCCATTTTTTGAATAA